GAGTTTGTCAACACAAGCACCTTAAAGTAACTGAGATTGAAACAATAATCATAACTATAAGACTACTAGAGGATGTTGTTGTAGCTGCTCCAGGGCATCTTCCACAGGTTCTTGGGCATTGTTGTGTCATCAATGTGTAATATCTGGAGTCATTACAGAGACTAGCGCTTCCCGGACAATCACTTCTTCCTGTGTTTGGATTAAGCTTGTCCACACAAGTAGCTAAGAGTAACTGAGATTAAAACAATAATCATAACTATAAGAATACTAGAGGATGTTGTTGTAGCTGTTCCAGAGCATCTTCCACATGTAGCTCCACACTGTTGAGTCATCAACGTTCTGTATTGAGAGTTCTCACAAAGGTAGGACAAACTGTTACAGTTTCCGGCAACATCGTTGCAGGCTTAAAGAAAAAAAAACAAAGAGTTATGAAATTCGAAAAAGGTGTCAACATACCTGTAGTTTGTGTGGTGGCAGCGGCAGCGGTAGTAGTTGCTGCAGTAGTGGTAGTGGGCACATTGATCTACGAAAGATAACGACTAGAATTATAGCGCAAGTTACAGTACCTCACTGTTCGAACAGCAGAAATCATTATTGATACATGTGTCATCGGGTGATGGGCACATGTTTCCAATACAGGCTGAAAGAAAAGAGAAAATTAGCAGCTAACACGGATGGATAGTTAAGACTTACGGCCACTTCCGCCAGGTGTAACACAAGTATCCATTGCGAGCGCAAGGGAGAAAGAACAGAGAAGGTAGATGGCTCTGGAAATCATTTTAATTCTAGAAAATGATGGTATCTACTTGCTTTTATATCTCAACCATCATGACCAGAAGCTTTAATTGGATAACGGCTGTGCAAATGAATAAAGGAGAATGGAAATATCTAAAAGCAACGTTGCAATCTAAATATGTGAAAATGCATGTTATATGACCTACATCACTGAACTTTCGATTCTAACTTCAACATTAGCTGTTTGTTTAATCTCGACGATTTACCTCTGGAAAATTTGTTAATTGTCTAATAGAGGAATGGTTGAGTGATTCACTCGACGAACAACTTAGTTTGGCGTTCAATCTCGATATCAGCCATTGCAAACAACTTGTTTCGGTATTGAGGCTATTTCAACCATTCTCCAAGCAGAAACGAATCAAATCAAATTTAAAAAGTTTATTTCTTCATCTACCCATATTCATGGATCTGTTCATGCAGCATTTTAATGATTATAAATTACAATCTTAGCTAAATAACAACGACATCGGATGAGAGAAACATAATAATCATTAAAAGGCAACCCGTATAGCTTAGAAGAAAGAATAAATTAACTACGTAGTACTACATATTCAGATATTCTCTTAGACATCATTCGTGGCACACAAGTATGACGAGACAAAAATGAGAACAATGTGCGTAAACTATGAACTATGTCCTGTTAAGAAGTTAGATGAGCACCTGATTCAAATATTTTGCTTGAGAACACATGAAAGCTTTTGTTTAATTAATATCAATCAGCCTTGTTCTCTAAAGCATTTGGATGTCAAAGATTTGTCTGGAAAAAAATAGAAATTAATGAATCAATCCATGAAGATAAAGATACCACTAGAATCACGAGAAACCAAGTCAACATCGCTTCTCTTTTCGGAATCCATAGTGATGCAACTTTCAGTACGCTTCTGGTCAGGAAGTGCAACAACCTCTGGTTCAACTATATCGGACGAACATACAACCTTTAAGAACTTTGATTATGGTCACCCTGATATTACACTTACAGTTAGTAGCAGTGCCGGTAAAAATATAATTCCATGCAGTAATCCTAATAGAATCACAAGGAAAATAGTTTTCAAAAAGACCAAGACCATGTAGGAGTCGATGAAGAGCAGCGGTGACACACAGAATATAGTTGAAACACCAGCTTGAATCATGGGCCAGCCGATGGATCTGATAAAAGTGGTTTAAGATTGAAGCAAGAAGTTAAAACCTTAGAGCATCAGCTAATCGCTCATCAGTTGTCCACGATCTAGGATTTCGATAGTAGTGATAACTAATATGAGCTGGAATAACAATGTTTGACAAGACATAGCGGTTCGAACTCACCCGTGAAATCGACAGAAAATCCTATACTCATCAGTGTAGTGCACATGGTGATAGGATCAAGGTTTACATGCCATACGGAAAGCAAACCGAAGACACCGATATTTATCGATAACATTGCTATGGAGCTGAAGAGGGAAGGTATTATCATTTTCTATTTATCTTGTTACCTGGTGATAATAGATGATGCATGAGGAATCATGAGGAAGCAAGCCAAATCCATAGTGATCGCGGCAACAACTACAGTAGAGAGCGTGTTGCTGCCAATCGAGTCTAACTGATCAATATAGAACGAGTACGCCTTCAAAGAAAATATGTTCAAAATTATCAAAGGCTAAAAATTACTTGGAAAACAGTAACGTTGAAATGATCGTATTCATGAGCAAGACCTCTCCAAGAGTGTTGAAGCTTTGCACGTGTCAACCAACTAGCATCTTTCCCCATAGCACATGCCGTCGCGAACATAAATCTGAACTTAGGGCTTATTCAGGTTCAGGTGATACACCCATACTTATTAACACCAACAACATCATTGTTTGTATCGCGTTCAAGGCGAATCATGTCATTCCATCGAGAACCCCCATTTTCCGGATCCTTAAACGCATTCTTATAACATATATGCTGACAGAAATACTACCTTCAACCACGTGTCAATCAACTTATAGAAGTTCTTTTCGTTATGATAGAGAGTGCTCTGATACAAGAACGAACGTAGCCAGAAGGAAGTTGAATTTCGCCCCATAGAATATGGAAGCCTTTCAAAGCGATCCACTAGTTCAAACATTGCCTGTTGATTTCTCTCAACAGATAAATCTGGAGGTGAATTAACGAATACTAACACCTGAAATTGAAACAATGAAGATTGATTCATATGTGTTGTTTACCAATTGTCCTTCGCTCCACAGATATTTCTCATATATATGAGCAACATTATGCAATGGACTATCTTTCATTACAAGATTTGTGGTATCCATTTTGATTTCCATATTAGCACAACCATACAATGAAGCTGTCCAATAAGCAATCATGATTATTAGTAAGCCGACACGAGTCTGAAGCAGGCAAATATGATTGTAATCACAATACTTTCATATATCTCTACCTGCCACATCTTTAAGAAACGACAATATCTCGATACAATGCCATTAGATTTGCCAGGTAGAACACTGCGTACAGAAGGTTGAGCTGACAACTTAAAGTTCCTTTGTTTACTAATTTCAAGAATTTTTTAAACTGACAGCCATTTTCTTAGGTTCCGATTCTTCAATTGGAGGCTTTTCGGCATTTTTCATCAATCTCTTTTCCTCATAGACAAGTGCAGCGACAAAGAAAGTCAACTGTATCAAGTACAAATATATTTGATTCAAAAAATGAAACTAACTTGATAAATGAAGTCCACTGTTACACCAACAGCTGTGTACAGGCAGAAAATTGAAATAGCTGGTGTTGTTGTTAAAACTCCTACAAATTAGATATATAACAATGCTTGTTTGAACTTGGTTGAACATACCGATTCCGAACGAGAGAATGTTTGTTACTGATGTAACAGTTATAGAAGGTCCTGCTTCTTCCATTGTTTCAGCTGGAAGTTTCGCAAAATGAAACGTCATTCTTTTTCAACATACCAATTTGATGCTCCAATCCTTTTCTCTTATCGGTTTTACGCATGGCGTGGATGATGATAAACACATCATCAGACCCAACTCCAATGATGAGGAAAGGCATCACAAGAGTTATAGAATTGAATGGGTAACCGAATAAGAACAGAAGACAAAACCTGTAATTCACTATTATGAAATATCTCAAATTGAAACGCTCACGTTGTTCCGACTGCCATAAGAGGTCCCATAATTCCGAGAAGAGCCATCACCATCGAATGCGTGATTTGAAAGTGTTCACGACGGTTTGTAATTAGAATAAAACAAAATACAAATGCAACAGATATAGAGAAGTAAGGTACACATGCAACTCCATTGGCACGAACCTGAAAAACTTGTCAAAAACATTATTCTCAACCCGCTGTATACCTCCTTGGCTATCATAGAATCACTATTCACCGTAATATTGAGTATGGGATGTTGAAAATGTTCAACATAATCGAATAGTTTGTATTCCCATCTGAAAAACAGAAAGAAAGGGGGTCAGCTATGAAAATGGATTGTGTCTTTTAATTAGAAGCTATGAACAGACGAGATAAAACAAACCTGGACAGAGTATCCGCAATGATTTCATTTTGACGATCAGTACGGAAGTAAAGAACCACAACTGTCACGGATGAGATTCTGCAAGAACGTAATCAAATAATAGGATTCAGAATTGATATATTGATATACGTAACACGCTCTTAGTTGTTTCAAAATCTGACCGAACTGCGTACTACAACCGCTCGTAAAGTCGGAAACAATAAAAATGATAGGAAAACAGAGAAGAGCGTCTACGTGAACTTCACGTGAAACCCACGTAAGACTTACATACAATTCACGTAAGCTGAGATACGTGGAATGACATCATAAACATGATCGGACTTGAAAGTCACATTAGTTTGAAAATTAAAACATACACATTGGTTTTTGAATCAATTTCAACTCCTCCAAAGTGTTCTCCCACATAGTATTCATCATTGTACAAATGCATGGTTGGGAAAGTTAATCGGAAATTGGGATGCAATCTCGATGAAGCATTTCGATATATAAGATTGAATAATGGAATAACCTGAAACGATGATATGAGGCGATGAGTTCAACCAGTAAAACTATTACTTGATTCTCATTGCAACTACTTCCCGAGCAGAGATTATCGAACGAACAATCTTTCTGATTCTTAACATTACAATCTACAGTGAAGTTGTATTGAAGATATTCAGCCAGCGAGACGACTTCATCAAAATAATCTTGTCGAAGCAGATTTTGTAAATCTTTCGCCGTGATTGTCAACTGCAATAAAGAAATAAATTAATTTGTTTACAAGTTGTCCAAGCGTTTATCTCCCTTTGGCTCCCTTTCTCTATTCCAAGAACTTTCATTCTCATGCAAGCGTAAAGCATTTTTTGGTTGGCGATTAGAAAGCATGAGTAGCTTATTTTAGATTCTTTATCCTACCGATGTATCGAGTTCACCTGAAAGGAGATCAGGATATCGAACCGGTCCAGGCTTATGCTGCACTAAGGAAACTTTTACAATATCTTTCACTATTCCCTTCGATAGAGCGTATGTTCTGACATGCGATCTGATCCGTACAAGTAAATCCTCCATAAGATTTGCGTTCATTCAAATCGTGTACCATATATGGAGAGGTGCAGATTATAAGATTAGACAACTGCCGTCATCGTTATTTGCCAGAATAAACTTAACGGTAAATCAAGTTTTTTTCCCACTTCCCCTCTCAGCCAATCATAAATAAACCGAAGTTTCCCCTCGCACGTCGTCTTGTTCTTACAACTGGTTACAGAACGATTTCAATTTGTATGGATTAGAGAGGTCTCAGCCAGAAACAGTTGCACCAAACTAACCTCTAACCAAAACTTTCCCCCTCGATCGTTGAAAAACTCATTGGCTACAGCATGTTCATAATGTGAATCAGCTCCAGATGGACTATAAGAGTAATTGATGACTTAGAGTAATACGTGATCAAACTACATACCTGTATAGATACCAAATCCTATTTTCTTCATGAAATCGCAGCAATCCTAAAGCCGATGTAACTGTCAGAAGAACAGGTAACCAGAAAAAGGGAGCCGGATATCTATAATATGATGTTTAAGAAGTGATTATGACAATACCCAATCATTGTACTCAGAATGCTTGCGATATCAGATAATGTCTCAAGTGTGAGAGGTGTGGGGAAGGTTTCACTATTTCAATCTCGTCATTACATACCCTCGACAATCAGATAGACTTGAAGTGTTGAATGGAGAGGGCTAATGAGGAAGTCGTAAGCATTTTTCAAATCAAGCACAATGCCGCGAAAGGGCTTCACGTACTGTCATCTTCTATTCAAGCAACAATTCCGGCACCAGTCATGTTTTAGCACTTTTGCAGAATTTCAAAATATAAATTTGTTAATTCGAATGCATTCTCTTGCAATTAGCTGAGTGAATGACCTTGGTCAGAGCCATAGATAGTTCGGACAAGCAAAGCGATCAAGGCGGATGTCAACGGGGTGTTCACTCTCTCCTCTTCCACCTATCTTTCCCTTTCTAAATATCTTACAATCTAGCAATGCTTCGCAATCCTGGAACTTTCTCTTTTCTCTCGCTCTCCTCTTCTCATTTGTTGCTAATTTAATCTATTGTTCCAACTGTCGATTAGCTTAGTGTTGGATGAGAAACGATTGAAAAGGAAAAATTCTACAGGTATAGCCACAATGAACAGAAAAAAACAGGTCTGAACCAAAGCTAAAATTCAATCCTGTCCGTTGGGGGTTAATTCGAGATAGGAATTGGTAAAATGAGTAGCCAATTACTAAACAACAGCAGTTGACACTACTAACATCAAGACAAACTACAAAACATTTTTTTTGCCCACATTTTTTCTTTTACAATCGTTCGATATGACTCGATGATGACCAATCGAGGATAATTGGGGATATGTAAAGAAAAAAAAAGAAGTTTAAGACGTCTTCAAGACAAGCAATGAGGCATCAGCTCATTGGACGGCCAAGTTATTTCGATTCTGGTCAATGCACAAGCGATGTTGTATGAATAGATGATTTCCAACAACAATTGCTTGACACCTCTCAACAGGTAGTCAAAAATATATAAGAGGAAGCATGTTGTAAAGCAAGAAAAAACAATTGTTATCCGTCCTTGTATCACCTGATTCATACCAAGCTGTTAGGACATTATGCGTTCACGAAGTTTCGGAAACGTCATGGTGGCCAACAAGACACTTTTATGGTAAATAAAGAAATCTCAGCCTGTTTTCGATGGCTAATCATTCCAACACATGTCCCCACAGCATAGAGAAACTCGCTCTGATTGTTCCGCTCTATCCTTTCAGGTGGATAGTGCAAGATGCCCGTAAAATGACCGGAGAGATTCAGTCCGTTTATCTCCTCACTAATTTACCATAATTGGAACTGTTTTTTTGGTTGAATGACTGATTAGCAAAATTAATACTAGAAAAGTTGAACCCAAAGATAATTTCAATAGATTTCACTTGGAGAAGGAAGAACTAACATAGAATCAAATGTAGAATTGGGTGAGGGAGAGCAGAAAAACGACATAACAACAAAATCCCACGGTGACCTGTGGATAAGCACGCATTCGGAATACACAATACAATGCATACTCTAATAAAACATAATTGTCAGAGTCATGATACGTCAGAAAGTAGGTATGGACAAGTTAAGCAAGATCAGATATACCATGAGATTCAAAATGTACAATCAAATGTAAGAAAAATAATTTACCTGTAAACTAATACGCCGACAGCTTTGAAAAAATGGCGAATTCGCAAAGATATCACATGGCCGGGCGACTTCATCGAATAGCCGACGATAAGCCAGAAGTTGAAGGAATAAAAAGGAAGAGGTTGGTGTGGATGATTATCAACCCGAAATCCAAGACACTCGGTATAAGCTGTTGATGTACGTTGGACGTAGAAATAGATTGGAAAATAGAGAGAGAAGGGGTGGGGAAAAGCTTTTCCAACTATTGGCTGTATCTCTCCCTATCTCCTTATCTCTTATTCTCTTTTCCAATAGCGTCTAGGTCCAGTCGAGAAGCCGTTGTAGTCGTCCACGCTACCAAAGAAAGCCCCGCCTTCCGACCATCCAATCTTCCTATTCATTCATTTCTCTGTTTCTCTCCTTTTCTGTCATGTCAAATCTGTTGTTGTATGTTCTTCTCTCCAACCTATGTGAATGCAGACAGACTCTAGGAGGTGGTGAAGATGAGGCGCGCCATTCATGTTCAGCAGCATTTCGTCTGTTTGTCACCGTCGGAGATTATTCTCAAACGGTAAGAGAGAAAGGGCACAAATAAGGAGACAATCCAGAGAAAATAATTAAATGTCTGGAATGAGAGCGCATAGGGATCACTTTAAAAGATGATATGCTATTCTTTGACAGGAAAATGTGGAGGCAATTAACGACACGGCATTTCTGTGACCACAGAGTCTAGCAAATTCCTTTCTTCCCCCCATTTTTTCTTATCATTCTCTTTGTCAAATCTCATATGTAGATAGAGAGAGAGAGAGAGGGCTAAGACGGGATTTGGAGAAACATATTAAAATTCCTCGTTTGGCTCATCAATTGTAAGCATGAATTCCAAGACAAAGTGCAATTGAAACCTTCCGTCACCATCTTTTCCTAAACATCGAGAGTGATGTTCTAGTTCTACCAAACTGCCTCATACCAATCTTTCCTTTTCTTTAAGCTTAATGACAACTTAACAGCTTTTTCATTGATTCATCCCATAACAGACAACAATCCGGATAAAAACACTTCTTTCTCTCAAGCATCTCTCAACAGGTTATGAAGAGTTCCTCTCTTTTTGCTTACCTTCTGCATCTTTTTAAATCTCTTAAGGACCATTCTGGCACTGTGCAACCTGACCATCTGTTTGATTCATGATTTCCTTGTAATCTATCCTGACATCTTCTCTTTAAAGAATTTTCTGTACAACACTGACCTTCAGCTTTAATCTCTCTTTCGATATGCTGACAGTTATTTTATATGTTGTTGTGACAAGCTTCCTTCTCTCTCCACATAAATTGAAACTTCAAAGATAAAATCAGCTTCGGCAGAAAGGCGGTAAGCAGCTACGGTTCGGAAACATATAGACAGTTGACATATCTGAAGCTTACCTCTAAGCATTCCTCTTGGATGAATATATAAATGAATTATTCTCTTTTAATCAGCGACAGGTCTCGAGATAAGAAATCTCTGCCGTTTAACCCGGGCTAAACACCATTGATTCATAAGATCAACGGCTTGCGCTTTCACATAGCAGTTTTTTCTCCTGACTATCCAAGAAGTCTTTCACCCGTACTTATCAGAAAAAAAATGGATTGTTGTCCCTTGTCTCATTCTTCTACTCATTGGAAGGATATTGGTAAAGACTGAAAAGCTTCTGAAACATGATCATCCACATCATTAAGATCAATTTTTTGTTCAAAACCAACACTACAATATTGGCGAAAACTCCTTCAAATCTGACTCACATTTTTTTGGTGGCGGAGGATGTGTGCGGATATAGAAGAACGATAAGCTTTTCAATGGAAGGAGTGATGCATCTGGTTTTACAATCCTTCTTCCTAATTTAGTGACTAAGCTGTCGGTCATATGACGTCATACGAAGTTTCGGCTGTGAAATCATAGAGTATCTACGTACGTTCAAGAGTCTTGGCAAGATCAATAAATAATAAATGACACAATATCAATCAAGAGAATAATCATGTGTGATAGAGGAGATTCGAAATAGATCATAATCCTTATGAGTAGATATTGTATCTACCTGATTAGTTATAGTTTGTTTTTTCCAATATGTGATCCGTATGAAAACTACAAAAAATGGATGACCAGTCATGCGATTAACGTCAGCAATCTCCTTTTACGTATTTCTTATGACTTTTTATGCAAATTCATTTCAAACATAAGCTTCTAATGATTGTTCTCTTGTGAAATGAATGATTCATCGGCTGGTTTACATCATCCACTAAGTCTGATCCTACAGTCCTCTACCTCAATTCTCATTATTTATATGCCGTGAGGAATAATTCTTCCGTCATCGGTGATATCATAGAGACCTTGCGAGGGCGTTAGCAATTTTCGTCAAGGGACAGGTTCTCTCGGTTACTCCTTGCTTATATATCCAGTTCACGCGACTTGCTTATCAATTGATCTCTGTAAGTGAAACCAAACTCATGCATTCACAATACCTTAAGCTCGAGTACAAACTACACAGTAGGAGATCATCAGCAGTTGTGCTTCTTCACATAGCCATGAGATTATTCACTCTAACTTAAGATTGAATTTTCATTATCTTAACCTTCACATTATTTTCATACCTTGCCTTTTCTTTATGTTTCCTCAAACGGCCGTTTGATTATTCGAGTATCTGATATCATCATCGCCATGTACGGAAGATGTCCGGCGCAGCTGAGAAGCTAGTATGATAACGATTGGAAGTGATGAAACTGGGAAAGAACAGGATTATGATAGCTATGAGACAATACGACTCTTCTCACGAGAATTAGTGGTTTGAACAGTTGTAAGTAAATCGACCATGGGGAAGATATGTAGCATACACACATATATGTCAAAAGGTTTATGAAGTAACATTGACATGCTCACAGTTCTAGGAATTATGGACTAGATCAAGGAACAAGGAACAAGGAATATCTCCATGATTTCAAACTTATACGATTCAACAGAACAACAACGAACGTATAATGATATCAACCAGTTATGAAGTGAGTATCTCATTTGATTTTCAAGTAACAAATTGATGCAGTTGGAGAAGAAAAAATTAAAATGACCAAACTGCTCCTAGCACTATTCCGAATTATGTTTTCAATATTCTCATCTATCTCTTTGACTATGGCAGAGTCCACAGAACACGTCTCTCCTTCTTCACCATCTTCTAACTGTTTTGCGTTAGACTGTAATAAAAATATAAATATGAATATCATGTTGCTTCTACCTTAGTGATATCCTCCACATAATCCATCTCGAAGAGGGCTAGACGATAGTTTAGTATTTCTAAAGATAAGTCTTCCAAGAACTTATTCTGTGGAACATCTTCGGGCTTGACTCTTACATCGAAACTATCAAATATTGGAGTAAAGCTTGCTTGCATCCAGAAGAGAAACTTACAGTCTCCCATTGTAACTTATACTCTCTACAGGTGGGTTGAACCCAAGTAAAACATTATTACAACGATCACTTAAATAGTAGTGCAAATATCTGTATTTGACAGAGGTGTCGGCTCTCAAGCTATTACTGAAAAAATACATGTAGAAACTTCACAAATGAATTGGACGTTGTTACTTCCAATCAAAACCATCTTCTAATGGTGGCAGGGGATTCAATGCCATGCATCGAACACATATTGTGGGTTGTATTTTACGACATTCACAGTTTGGAAGAATGCACTCTACATTTATAATAGTACCGCATTCACAATATCTTCTGAAATTAGAATAAAAGTAGATCGAACGTGAACGTGAACATGTACGCGCACGCCATTTAATCTTGACGATGCGCGTAGAGCGGTTGCATACCAAAACAGGTGAATTATTACCTGACTAACGAGTCTAGTTTCAATTTTTTACTAGGCACTCCCTCATCTTCATCTTCCTCTTCCTCATCATCATCGTTCTCTTCATCTTCTCCTCCTTCTTCCTTTTCTTTCCGTTTTGTTTCCTGTGCTTGGATGCGTTGTCGTTTCAACTTCTGATACTCATCCAGGTTCCATCCGAAACGGATATTTCCAAATAAAAGACTAGAAGTAATTAGTGTAACAAATTTTTCAACAACAAAAAATATATGCTCTTACCCTTTCTCTAACTTCAATTTTATGAGATCCATGGCAGCAACGGAGTCCTCAACAGAACAATGCCCTCGATTACCCTAATGATAAATGATGAAGCTAGGAATGGCCGTCTTACTTGAATATCCCGATTGAAGAACAACCACATCAGACTCTTCAGACTTGATTTTGAGTTTAATCCACCAGCAAGATTATATAAAAGAGCAGCGTCCATACAATATCTGGAACTCCAGCTATATCAATCACAACACATTTCACACTCACGGATGTGCCATGCCCATGGCTCTAAAATCGAACTCTAAAGAATGACCAACAATAATAGCATCAGGAGGTAGACAGGCACGAATAGCGTTTTGAACGTCTGAAGAACTAGATTCAAGTCTAAAATGATATCACATACCTTTGGTCGTAATGACAATATCTTCGAGCATATCCTTGGTAATTCCAGAGAAGCGAGTTAAGTAATTCTAAACAGCAGTTAAGATCAGGTTTTGAAGAAACTCACTGTTATTTCGTTTTCAGGTTTGACAAGAGTGTCTATCATAACTTGGCCATCTTCTCGGATCTCAAAAGTTATACATGCATAAAACGATAGTTTTAGAATCTAACTAGAGATATTCTTGTCAGCTCATGTCGTTGTGCAGTCGTGAAGCACATCTCACAATCCAACGCGAACATGGGAGAGTTCTCAGTCACCGGGGCATACCTATAATCGACCTTAAGTGGAGTTGATATAGATGTACATACTTGTCTTTGGTAGCCACTATTCTCTCATCCGGAAAAGGATAGTTGTTGTCAACCATATCTGTGGTAGTCAGCAAGAGTTGCTCTTTCAAAGTCTTCTGATCACTTTCAAGTTGCTTGCTTCCGGCCTGCAGATAAGAAGAGTTTGAGAAACAGTAAATCATTACTTACTCTCATTTTCTCTCTAATTTGCTCTTGGAGAGTCACAGGTACTTGGAATAAGTGAGACCAGAACGCTTCTCTATCGGTAATATTAGAATTCATTCGAATCCATTGCTTGTTGAAGAAGTTATCGACGAATTCAAATGAGTATTCATTATTCTCCTGAAAGTTATGAAGAATGAGGATTGTAAGTACACAAACAAACTTACGATATATTCAGCAGTACAATTGACACGGATTAAAATAGTTTGACTAGTTGATTTCCGGGAGGGCTTCAAATGAGCCCATCTAGGTTTCTGAACGACAGGGCCGATTACAGAATATTGGACTAAGTCTCTAATTTCTTAACCAAGGTATGAGTGAACAATTAAATAGTAAAACCCTCACCAGGATGTGATATGTAAGAACCTCCAAGCCTTTCCATACATAACGTCAACATAATTCATCAACCAGTGCTTAATCTCGTGTAATCACAACCCTCCAAAAAAACAAAATTTAAACGCGCGAAGAAACTATCCGCAGCTCAAGCTATTAGCTTTGCCTTCATTTAGCATTGTAGCGCGTGTTCGATGTAAAACAGACAACGTTGAAACCGCAGCAAGACCTGATTAGTACAGCCATATTAGAACTGCAAGCCAATTATCTTACATAATAATTATATTTTATCAAATATGAAAGAGCCAACTTAATTTTATAATCTCATTTTTGTTATAAAACAACGCTATGAGCGATGATTTTTGCTTTCAATGAAGAAGCTCTTCGCCGTATTGAGGGAGGAGTTGATTTGTTCGACCAGGGCTATTTGCTTTCTTAGCTTATGTTGACCAACCTGCAGTTAAACACCTAGACGCATATTAGATATCTCTCAATTGAGCAAGACTCGATGCAAGACAACACCAGCAGTGCCGTCGGTTCCATGGTGTAGCGGTTAGCACTCAGGACTCTGAATCCTGCGACCCGAGTTCAAATCTCGGTGGAACCTTTCTTTTAAGGTTTTTTCGAGTAATTTGTGAAAACAGTTATAGCTTACTTGAGGATCATTGATCTGACACATGCATCTTGTCTTAAAGTTTCATTTTAATGCATGCGCCGATGAAGAGCGGTTGCTTATCATAAATCTCATTTTATCGTCTTTTTACTGTTTTGTAGAAACTTTCACACATGCTTTCGCAGATGTTTTTAATTGCCCTTGTTGATTCATTTGAGCGAAATCTCCAAATCTCATTATACCATCAGGAGAATAAGAGGAGCGGATGATCTGATGTTGATACACTTAACTATAATAATAATAAGGATAATCTTAAAAGATCCTCACAAGAATAGGACGAGACGTATTATCATTTGCATGTAATTGAATAGTGATACTTGATCGTCTTTCACATAAATCCTTACGCCAATTACATCATTAATTCTAGAGCCGGTTGTCAGAAGTCAAGAAGAACTGCGATGTCAACGATGCTGCATCCTTCGACAGCTTGTTGTTCTCTTACTCTCTCAACCTCTACGCTTTACTAGTTCTCTTCAATCAGAAAGGGAATGGAGATAATGTCGAGAAACAATTCATTTATGTGTTTTCTATCGTTCTCGTAGTATGTCAGTTGTCGCCTTGTCAGGCTGGCGATCATCATACAGTGGACGGCGTGATTCTCTTTTATAACCAGTTATATTCTTGGCTCGTTCCTTATAGCTACGCGGATCTTCTTTGTCGAGCCAGAAGCCTATTCGTTTCTGTTCTGCACAGCTTTGATCCAATGAAGCTGCTCAAGGTTTTGTTGGTTTATTTGATCACTCCTAATCAGTTTCACATTTTAGCTCTGTATTTTACTAGGAGGTTTTGCCCTTGAAGCTTTAGCAAGGACTGGTTCGTTCATTTCATTCACAATTTTGACTTGATCATCTTTTCAGGTTCATCCAAAAGAGGAACTCTCAGAAGAGTTTCTGGTAAGCTTTATGTTCTACAGGCTTATCATCCGTTGTCTTCTTAGCCTGTCCTCTCGGAGAAATTCACAGCACGTCTAGTTCAAAATGTGAATCGACGTGCTTCTCAAATGTCGTTTGTTAATTCTTCTTCTTCCTAACCCAGCGTATCGTGATTTCAGAAATGTGCCCCTGTCTCTCCAATTGGAGCCTGTACTTGTCAAGATCACTTTGTGCGACACGAAGGCATTTGCATCCCCCGAACGGCTTGCAGCTTATTCCCGAAACCAACGAAGAAACCTCCACAGGTTCGCTTTCATTCTTCAACATTGCCATAAAAGATATTATAGAAACGAACAACGAAGCCTACTGCGAAAAGATCTAAAAAAACTACCAAACTTCCTCAGAAGAGGAAAGCTACAACGAAAGCAAAGTTAGCTACTGCCCCACCGGAAGAAATAATAATCAAGCCAGCTCATCCTCCTCCAAGTTCGTTATTCTTTGAGAGAAAGCGACTTTTCTGATAATACATGGTTACTATATCTCCTGTTGCAGGTTGTGGAAGAGGTCAAGCGTTCACTCTATGTATTTGCGATGCATCGTGTAATACAGGAAACGTAAGGTTCCGCAGAGATTTCTTGTTTGCTAATTCCGCTTTTAAGGTTTGCAAATCTTGTAAGTCTGGCTGTGGTTGTTTCAGACATTTCGTTAGAGATGGGAACGGTGATTGCGTTCCTTTCGAGCAATGTCCTGAACCTCGTCCTGCAACGGTGGGCCTTTCTTTCTCTCGAATCTATCTGAAGAAAGTGAAAGGAAATAATCGATATTGTTTCAGAAGCCTATGGCCATTATTGATCTGACTGATGAAAAGCCGGGTGGTTCGTTATCAAAATAAATATGCATGACAACACCTATTACTTTCACTTATGTTTGAGTTTTCTTCTGTTTAACACTACTAAATAAACTTTCCCTGAACTGACGGGCCACCTACTTTCCTATGCTTCTGCATTGTCCTTTCACATTCTGCACCTCACTCATATCGTTTAGGGTCTCAGACTGAAGGAGTCAAAACTCTTATCCTTACATCCGACAACTTCGAAGCTAAGGTTAACCAACATGAAGCGGAACACTTTCTTCGTCAAATGAACACAAGGACATTAGCGAACGTCTCTCATATGCTAGATCATAAATCCGAACGACAAAGATTGGCTTCAGCTATACTGGCCAATTCTATTATTCTACGACAATCTGTTACCTCCAAACCTACGCCATCACCTCACCATGCCCAACGACAACCACTTACTGATTTGCTTACTACGTTAAAAAGAGAATTCCTGCCAACTAGACATGTGAACCCTACTCGTAGAGCTAAACGAACTCGCAATAGGAAACGATCATCACAGATAAGGAGACACCACAACTCTCTTCTTAATTCGTTCTTCCGTCACCCGAAAGTGAAAGAATCGGATATAGATAGTTCCTCTGAAGACGAGAAGAGAGAGAAGCACGCCGTTCCGCAAACCTTGAAAGGACCTCTGCCACCGAAAGCTGTTCTGGATGAGCCGATTCGTAAAAAGCCATCTAAAACTAAGGCAAGTAAAACTGCCATGTCTCCTGGGATAAAACCAGCACCACAAGTTTTACCAGCTCCAGTAGAAAGAACTCCACCAGGAACTCCTCCAATATTCCATCCTCATGGACCTATACCACCAGCAAAAGTGAAGAAGCTGAGAGAAAGAATAAGAGGAATGCCTCCAGGCCAGATGCCACCGGGTTTCGGTCCACCTGCTATGACACCGTTTGTGTTTTTCCGCGAAAAACGAGTACAACGACGCCAAAGAAAGCTTGAACGAATAAAGTCAAAGCTTCCAATCTCACGTAAATCCAGAAATTAGGAGACTGTTATGTATATATGCTTGTATCTGTGTCTGTGTGTGTTCGGGGTATGCTCTTGGTGCTCATTTATAATATTTAATAATTAAAATTTCATTTCATTCATATTCCTAGTTTGTTCCAAAAACCTCTGCAATGATGTTAATTAATAAGAGAAGGAAGGAAGGGATGGAATATTTCTTGTTGTTGTTTACTTACTTTGATTTTACTTGTTTCTTTTCTCTTTCATTATTCGAAGTTAGACTGCTCGAACGAAGTGAAGGTCGGAATTCCTTGAAAAAGAAAAATAAAATAAAATTTATAAATCTGAATATCTTACTTCTAAAGGTATCGTTAGTGTGGATGTGAAATTCAAAGGATTCGCTAATGCTTCACTGAACACTGCCTCGTTCTTCTCCTTCGAATATGGATCAGCTAAGTTTTCTCTCAAAACTGAAAAATGATTATTGATTGATGTGAATGTTGTATGATCTACTAACCAGACGTATATTTTGGCATTTCATATGAGATATCAAAAAGGACACACAAACTGGCTGGTCCTAGATTCCGATTACCGGATGACCGTAGAATTATATAACGATAGCCTAAAGAAGTGAAAGAAGAGACTTATACATCTATATATGGAAGTACCATTATTTAGTTTATCTACAACAAATGTTCTATAGGCTATTGGGATGTTTTCACTTCCATGTCGTTTGTAGACGGTAAATCGTATGAAAGCCAATTCAGATAGCATTATCTATACAGTCATATCATCTTTAGGCTATTTCAATTTGTTCTTCCATACATTTGAGAAGATGAATTGCTCCTTTGGATATGAGGTTTTGAACAGAACTTCTGAAGCTGACTTTGTTGAATAAACAACTTTCCGATCAGTGTCTAGCAATTCCGCTGTTACCACCGTGGTCAATGTGTCTTCCTCACGAGATAGCAATGACGACAGGAAGTGGGCTGATAAGATCTGTAAAAACATAATTAAATATATAAATAGGATTGTGGAATGTTTGAAACGTGTTCAGGAAGTTTTAGATATCGTTCCAAAAAATGCAACCGATTCATATAGCTTTTGACGTATAAATGATGATACACGTGAGAAATGACGTACACGGCATTTTACGTGTAATGACGTCACCTTAATGCGTAATTTGGTTGGAATCATTTGATGAATTCCATTCCTTGCTGAATATGGATCGAAGTTCAATGAAAGATCCCGCAAAGCTTTAGATTTAAGAATATAACTGTAATCGGTCAGTGAGATGTTTCATTCAGTGTGAACACTACCCAGATCTGCCATTGCCTTCAAACAATGCGTGGTTCAACAACATCTCAGAGCCATTGGTCTGAAAGTTCAATGCGACCATTTGGATTCCCATCAGCCATGCTTTCTGTAAATAGAGTCATAAAGATGAAAATTGAATTTTTATAGATCAACCATCGGGTCAAAGTTGTCCGATAGAAATCGAAAGTTGGATGGGTATGCTCGAACCATTTTACGAGATGAGAATCGAATTGCTTTTCTACATTCATTTCTCAAATGGTAAAGCTTCTTCACTATATCCTCTGATAATGAACACATGACATACAATCTATTATCAGCTGCAATATTTATTGTTTTGTTATGATTTCTTTCACACTTACGATTCCAATCTTTGGGAACTTTGTCAGCCTCCAAGTAATTGATAATCTTTGACAAATCGGTAGAAGCTTCATTTTCCTTTGGTGGTTTCAATTGAGTTTCTTTCACTAGTGTACTCAAGCCAGACATCGCATTCTGTCAAACATCTCAGTACCAACACTTTACTATAGTACTTTACCAGAGCATCAAGCTTTTCCTCATCCATGTCATCGACCCCTGAATCTCCAGATAAAGATGAAATGGAAACCTAAACATCACGTCATTAAACTGTTTTTTGACCACCGGTCACTTTTCTATCTCCGAAGAAATCAATTTCTCCTTCCTTCGTTGGAGTTTGAACAATTTTCCCTTTCTTCGCTTTCACTATGATCTTGTACTTCAACGCTTGTGGAGACGGAGGTTCTTGTCCGTCTATTAGCTAGAAATATAGGATTGTTTAACATCTCTTATCCAAGTCAGCATACCGGATGACTATCTAGAGGATCTGTTAGAAGCTTATTACCAAAAGTGCTTCTGAATATTTCAACCAACTTCTTCTGTTGCGATGGCTTAAGGTGATTCTCTATTGATAGAATGACAGGGTAGGGTGATGTTTGAAATGCTGTGTCATTTATAGCCTCACAAACACTCTGAATGAGGCATTTGTTTAGTTCAGATGATTGTATTCCCATACTCTTAAACTGATTTCATTCATTCTCATGAAGTGTTGAGGTCCGTGTGTAATGACAGGTTCAGGATCTCCATCCCAACAATCCAACTCAATGCAACGACATCCAGATAATAGAATCTTAAGAACAAAGATAAATAGTTGATAGTTTATAGATATGAAGACAAAAAGGTAATTTGATATTTGAAAAGATTACTTGTCTGTACATCTCCACATCTGCTCTACATATGCTGTGCTGACTATTAGTTGTAAGCATAGCTGCACATTTCAATTGAAGACCTAGAAGATTGTTGGATCATCTTTCCACATCAGATAAGAAATACCATAACAGTATGTATTATGAGATGAGTTTATATAGTATTGAGTGATTGGCTTATCCATATCTCCTTCATTCAAAGTATAATGACTGTTATTACTGTCAACCACGTAATCACTCCATAAATAGTGAACAAACACAGTAAACGTCACAGGCTCATCTTCAAGTTTCAAAAGTATTTTAGAATGCTTCTTGATTGATCTTTAAAAACCTCTCTTATAACCGAGTGAATGGAATATACGATGTAAGTTCTCTCGCGATAATGGAGGATGTAATGTTTCGTTTCGCCGAGGATCACGTTGGATCTGGAAAATTGAAATTTGTTTTGTTTTCAATATAGCTTTGTGGATGACCTCATTGACGAATCGAAGCATCAGATCGAAAGATATTGTGTTATGAGTAGCAGATCTTTAAGCTTTACATTGAAAAACATGAATTGTTTGGAAAACTGACAGATTGTTGAAAACTTGTTTCAGTTCGCTGCTCTTAGCACCAATCAGCTCCATAACGAACTTCAAAAACTTGTGAGGATCTCTGAGTGTGGAGATGGGAATGAATCCATCCTAAAGAATGAAACTCATTTTCTTTGTCTGGTTTTTTCAACATACTTTACCAATCTTGCCCATGTATGAGACAACAGATTGTTTATCCATCATGACTTTGGAGTTGACACAGACCTTTGCCAATCTCAAATAGTTTGAATGAAGCTATTCATTGGATGTGAACAGGGAAAAAAACCTTCCAATGTTTATCCGTGAGCTCTCATCATTGTTCTTCGCCAATGCCATACAGAGGACAGGTGTCCATAGCTTCTCAATGTGATATAGAAATCCATGATTTGTTTTTCGAACATTGAATGAGTGATTTATTATAAATTTTGACCATTGCTCAAGTTCCGTCTGAGATAAGAATGAAGGAAATTATCATTTTAATAAGATTAAAGCCTATGCCCTAACCTTATTCTTGCCCAAGAATACGAATGTGTGATATTCACAATGTGTAAAATCAGTATTTGAAACGATGGTCATCATAACGTCTTCAGCAACATTCACTTTCTTCAATTGTTGCTTTTCTTCCTAAAATGGAAGATGGTATAGAGAGATGCATGGACAGAAGCTTTCATCAAACCATATGTGTCAAAGCTTGCTGTCCCAGTCGCACATCAACAATATCTTGAAAGTAAACAAAACTTTTAACTTCAGCATTCTGAACTACATTAGATTAGAACATTGTAATATCAGAAAGATAACTTCGAGATTAATCTGAAGTGTCACATCATGAGACCAATAGAGAATATGACCTTTGTGATCAGCTTGTAAGGTAACCCTCGACGAATCAATTTTAAGCTTTCGCTCCTTAATTGATAAAAATATAAATTAAAAAGAAAAAAAAGAAAGATTAAACAAGGAAGGGGGGGTGAGAGAGAGAGAGAGAGAAGATCTTCTTGTATGATTGAGAGTGAAGAAGGGAAAGAGAGAGAGAGAGAGAGAAGGTAAAAAAAGAAAAAAAAACCTGTAAAGTTCCCAATTTGAGAAATGAAGCTCCTTTAACAAACTGATTTGCAATAAGCATAATATAAAAATAAGTTAATCAGAAGAGAAATATGAATTGAAGAGAGAGAGAGAGTGAGAGACAGATGGAGTGAGAGACTGTTTCCAATGTATGAAGCATCTTATCAGTTGAAGTTCTAACTAAATAAACTTTCTTAAGAAATCAAAAGGTTTTGTTGGAGAAGTTGATTTGATATCATAATCACCCTTACATATACATCAACTTCTTCTATTTGAACATGTTTTATGTTCAACGTTTATTACCCCCTTACCATCACAACCAATACTCAATGTGATCACATTTTTTCTTTTCATCACTCAAAATAGTTGACGAGCAGTGATAACCTGTGCCCCTCCTTACAAACATCCTGTGTCCCCTTCTGTCCTTCTATTTTCATGTCTCCTTCTCTCTCTCTCTACCTTTCCTCTCTCTCTCTTTATCTATCTCTCTTTCTCATTCTCTCTCTCCCCCTCCCTCTCTCTCTTACGTCTTTACCAAATTTCTGTGTATGAATGATAAAGCATTCACAAAATGCCTTTTCATCCTCTACAAACTTTCTTCTTTTGCTTGAAATATTTTTCTTTCTCTATTTTTTCAAACCAACAGCTGGTTGATCGAAAAATCAAAGTATCATATCTTCTTTCGCATCCCTATATGTTTTTTCTTGTCCAAAATTGTTGGAATGACAGTGCTGAACTTGTGAACAGCTGCTAGACTTCATTCAATTCTCCCTCTCTACCTTCCTCCCTCACTCTCCCTCTCTTTAGCCAGTCCGCTATCAGAAGATAAAAAAATATATATAGAGAGAGAGATATACATACACATCCCTCTTCTTATTATCGGTAGATCGTCTCATATAGAAGATAGGTGATGTGTTAGACAATTTTGTGACTCATAAGCCCAGGACGGTTACACACCAATCGGCTATATGGGGTCGAGAGGGCAGACGACCAGATAAATGACTCTCCAACATTCTTGACAGCGGTGAAACAATGATAAATATCATACCAACTGTTACAGCCTGTTCGCTAAAGCCTAACGCAAACTTTTCGGATTTAGGCAATTAAGGCTTATAGCATTGCCTTCCAAGCCTGTTCTGATGTGAAAGCTAAATGAGTGAGAAGAGCATAGACTCTAAAGAACATCAAGAGAATGATGATGATGTTCATTCTTCTATAATCTTTCCCACATCTCTTTTTCCCAAATATTTCATGAAAAAAGGTTCTTTTGTAGCAATTGTTTGAGACGATCAATTACTTTTTGCCATTTGGACTATCCCATCTGTGAATTGTTTTTACGAGTTTTCAGACACATCTGGAAAATCATGTCAACTTAAGGCTTTATTCATTAGAAAGAATAAAGAAGAAGAAGAAGAAGAAGAAGAAGAAGATGTGAAATAAGAATGAGTAGAAGAAGATGAAGGAAAAGCTTTTTCTCGAAGAAACATCTTCATCCCGAAGCTCATTTTCCTTCACATTAACCACTTCTTATAGTTAACACAGCAATTTGAAAATAAAAAGAAGAGAATGAGATCAATTAGTGGATTCATTTTTTTTGTTCCTGTGTTTCTCTTCAAGCTATCAGAAGCTTTTTATAAAAGACGATGACTCATCATATCATTTAATCCTCATTGGCCTCTTTCGTTCAGTCTTTCTATCTTTGTCTCTCTCTCTCCCTCTCTCTTTCTCTCTATCTTCAAACTCTCTCTCTCTCTTAGTCTCCAATTCTTCAGATATTTCAATTAAACCATTGTTTTTTTGACAGAAAATAGTTTTGCAGGAAATGAGGTATCAGAGTTTGGCACACAAAGCTGGAAGTCGGGAAAAGGATGTCATCAAGCTGTGATCTTTAGCTCTTTTGCTTTCCAATAAAGATTCTTGTAATATGTGATTCAACCAAATGATTTCATTGTATTAGAGAATGAATATTTGAACTTCAAATCGTAACTACGCCATTGTCTAAGACTGAGATGAATGGAAATGGTAAAACTGTCGTCTGGCACATCGTCGGTTTAGGATTGTCGTCTGTTGACCAGTCACACCAGAGAAGTGGCAGTCAACTTGCTCTACAGCATATCATAAAAGGCTTTAAACCTCAGAGATGCACAAGAAGAAAAGAAGAAAAAAACACACAAAGAATGAAAACATTGAAAAAGAAGTTTCACATCTGTTGACAAACCATGTAATCACCAGATGTTGTAATTTGACACATAGATAATGAAGCTCAAGTTGCGTAATAATGTGTGTTATAGGATAGTTAACCAGATTCTGTGACCTTTTAATTCCATTTGTATATGAAGAGAAAGAATTGAAGAGATGGGGGGGGGGGAGAGGTTGGAGTAAAAGATTAATTCGTTTTTGTCTTACCATGTGGTTTAAACAATGACATCAAAGAAGATTAAGCTGAAGAAGATGATTTGTTATCGTCAACTTCTTGTTTACGTTGACCTTTTGTTCCTTTTTTCTCATCCAAATAATTTATGTAATTGTTTATTTTTCATTTTGCTTTTATATTTTCATTTCTCTCTCTCTCTCTCTCTCTCTCTCTCTTCTGTATCTGCACGTCTCATCCTCATCCACTGGATTTCTCTCTTTATACATCTCTGACTGTGTCTCTTCTTCTTACTTGCCAACTTACATTTCTGACACTGATAGACTGTTGTCTACGACAGACGACCGCAATAAACTATTTGCGTGAATAAATCAACCAGATGCTCTTCATTTCAATCCTTGTTGAGCAAGCCGGTACTCAAAAAACCGAAAACAGAGTGAAGTCATCAAAATCGAACAATTCAGATGTTTTGACGTTTTGACAAATCTGAAATTTTCATGGATGGATTGTGTTTGGGGGAAAATGAAAAATGTTTGAAACTTACCTGTTGAATGCAACCGTTCTGTACGCTGTAGGTTATTGAAATGATCTTATGTTGATGATTTCACGTGAACTTCACGCTTCACGTGGCTCACGCAGTCCACGTAACCCACGTAATCCATGCATCCCGCGCAATCAGTTTCTGGCTTGCCGGATGTTTCTTGGTCCTTCCCTCATTGTTATTATTATAAATTCTATGTTTTGATTTTTGTTTTAATGAAATCGCTTAGCTCCAAGAACCAACAACATTAGCCGGCTAATAGATTGACAGAATGTCAACATTACTGTAAAATGGTTGTTTCAAGGATGTGCAATGGAGCATGATTGCCAACATTTCGAAAATGAATTGAAAGTTCAAAAACTAATTTTTCGAATTTTCCAAACAATTCCCAAAATTTTTTGTTTAAAACTTTCCTCATAAGGGCATTTAAGCTCAATGCTTCTATTTATAATATTTGTACTTTTCGTTCCTCATTTTGCTGTTTTAGATTACAAAAGTAATCCTTTTGCAAATTTTACTTATTGAATGTTCTTTCATATCTTTAAGATAATCAAAAGAAATTGTAAATCATTTATGTTCAACTTCAAACGATGACAAACCGCCAAGGGAAAAGCCCTTATTTCGTCTTTTGTGCAGCTTTGACCTTAGATTAGCCTCAATAAATCACATCTTTCTTCTGTCTATGCCTGTTGCATCTCCAGTAGACGTCCCTTGGAATTCATTTTCTTTCTCTCTCTCTCTATTACTCTCTCTCTCTCTCTATCTCCCTCCCTCTTTTCTTCTTTGTTCTCTCATATAACGCGTAAGTACCTCCTTTTTCCTTTTTTTTTGTTCATTTTCTCGTCTCTTCTTGATCAAGTTGCTAATCATTTTCTCTCGTTACTCTCTTTCTCACCATAACTCTTGTATCATCGTTGTGTCTTCTTCTATTCTCAGATACAATATAAATTAATCTCCTTCTTCTTCGTCTTTTTGTCTTTTTGCCTCCTTGTGGGCGTGGCTACGATGACACGCCCCTCGATTGGTATTCGCAGCTTTTGCACACATCTTCATCCACGTCTCACTGGCACGTAGCCCATCTTCAAGCCGGATACTGTACTTCATACAGTTCATAGGCTTAAAACAGCTGTTTTATCAAAATATTTTGAAACATTTAATCAAAAAATAAAAAATTTTAAAAATATTTCCAGATGGAGCCGCTTACGGTCTTCAGCTCATCTTCATTCATTCATCTGCTTGGCCCCCAATTTTTGCCATCTCTCCCATTCGCAAGCTTGATCTCTCATTCTTCAAATATCTTTTTTCACTTTCGTAGATGAATGAGACAAATTCTAAAAAAAACTTATTCTCCTCCTGAATCTTCTCTCTCAAACATCACCTTTAATCATTGTCATCTTCTCGCCCTCGCTCGGTTTTTCCCTTTAAGCTTCTTGTCTCATCAACTCTCTCTCTCTATCTATCGTTGTTGTTGTTATATTCTCTTTATACTCGTCTCTCTTTCTCTCTCTCTCATACTTTCTTCAAGAATCAAACATTTCCTCTCTCAAAGATTGTTTTAGAGAATGTTTTGTTTAAGGTTTTAATATAAACAAAACTTAATGAAGCACTCGGATATTGCATCTGTTGCTGTTCTTTCGAGATTTTCAAAATATTTTATACAAAAAGATAATAATGTACTGTAAGTAAGACCATCTCTCTCTCTCTCGTAATACAATTCTCTCTCTATTCAATTCTCTCCCTCTCTCTTCCTCTCTCTCTCTCTCTCTCTCTAATGAATTTACAAAACATCAATTGGCCACAATATTCTATTTTGAATACAATTTTGCATCTTATTTTGTCAAAAATTAATTTTGATTTATCAATGATCATTTTCAAATTGACTAAATCGGAAACATCATCTTCTCTATATATCCAAATCTGTGCCAATTTTCCAGAAAGTCTTTCTCTTCCAAGTGGCAACAGTTGTCTTTCCATCTTTCTGCTCTTCATTTTGCCACCCCAGGCAAGAAACATTTGTCCGAATCATCACGACACTTGTCTTTTCGGTCCAACTGGAGACATTCGTCCTTTATTTCGTAAGCTTACTCACTGACGACCCTCTCTTTCTCTTTCTTCTTCATCTTCATTTTCTTCCGCTTAATTGTTTTTTTCTTCCTTTTTCATTGCATTACATCTTAACACTATAGGGTTCATCATGAGATTGCTGCTGCTCACAACGGCGGCTATCGTAGCCCAAACAGGGGCATTCTCTCTGAACTTCTTCTCCACGGAGGTAATAACGCTCAAAATCTCCTTCATGCATTCAACTACCTTTTTTAGGCAGAAAAACCATATCTTCATGCAGGTTCCCCTGCTTTGACCGATCCATCTTCAGCTCGTGTTAAGAGACAAGCTTACCAAGTAAGATGAACCGAATTCTTATTCACGCAATGCCGTTCCTTTAAAGGTTTATGTTGATGGTGATTCTACTGTATCCGTTGATAAGTCTGGACAAGCCGAAACTGGAGCCTGGGGACAATGGTCATCTGAAGCTCAGTGTTCTCGTACCTGTGGTGGAGGAGTTCAAGTCGAAAAGCGTCAGTGCAGGTGTGTCTTATCGTTCTTCGGCAAGATGACGTCGAATTTGACATGATAAGGAAACATTTTGACAAAATTTATGTAAAGTTTTGACAGGAAATGACAGATGTGTCATAACGAAAAAAAGAGGGAAAAGAGGGAGAGGGGATGAAGGAAGAGAGAGAGAGGTTGAGATGATAGGATAGGGTGTCACCTTACGTTGAAACATATAGAGTTGCTTTTTGAACTGAAACATAGTTCTTGGACAACATATTTGAAACATTTCTTTTCAGCGGTGAATGTACTGGACCCTCTGTTCGCTACGTATCTTGCAATCTTGAGCCATGTTCTGAGGGAACTGATTTCCGTGCTGAACAATGCGCTAAGCACAATGATGATGCTCTAGATGGTAATTACCACAAATGGATTCCATACAAGGGAAAGAACAAGTTCGTTTACTTCATCTATCCTTCATCATTTTCAAATATCAATCTTCATACTGTAAATTATATTAAAAGTTCATAAAAGCCATCTGTAGTATCAAAGGGCACAGCTGCCAATTTCTTTTTTTTTCTTTTTTTCGCTTCTTCAAACGATTTGGGCGCGGATGGCAGAAACAGAAAATCTTTTCGCATGAAAACAAAAAAGTTTAAATGAAAATTTTCATTTTTTCTCTTACAGATGCGAACTTCTCTGTAAACCAGAAATCGGTAACTTCTATTACAAATGGGCTGAAAACGTTGTTGATGGAACCACTTGTGATAGCTTCAGTGATGATATCTGTGTTGAGGGAGTCTGTCTTCCAATTGGCTGTGATGGAAAGCTTGGATCAGGTTGATATCATGGAGAGTAACAAACATAATCTGTTTACTCTTTAGCTAAGAAGGTTGATAAGTGTGGAGTATGTGATGGAGACGGTTCAACCTGTAAAACCATCGAAGGAGGATTCGACGAGAGAAATCTCAGCCCTGGATACCATGATGTTATGAAGCTTCCAGTTGGAGCTACTGCCATCAAGATCATTGAGGCTAGACCAAGCTCTAACAATTTGGGTAAAATAAACTTTCATTTGAGACTATAAACAATCCTATTTCAGCTTTGAAGAACTCTTCTGGACATTTCTATCTTAATGGAAACGGAATGCTTCAAGTTGAAAAGGAAGTTATCGCTGGTGGAGCTGTTTTCGAATACGATGACGACAAGCCAGAGCGTATCACTGCTAGCGGACCACTCAAGGAGGTAACGATATACTGAGAGTAGAATATATAAAAACGCCATTCTCAGGAAATCACCGTCTCTCTTCTCTTCCGTAAGGGTAACAAAGACGCTGCCATCAAGTACGAATTCTCCATCCCACTCGAGGAGGAAGTTGATTACATGTACAAGCCAGGAGACTGGTCTGAATGCTCAGTTACTTGCGGAAAAGGTAGATATATGGATCCGATTTAATTGAACCCCTGAATTTTCAAGGATTGATCACCCGTACCCCATTCTGTATTGATACTAAGACTCAAGCTCGTGTAAATGATGATCTCTGTGACCAGAACAATGCCACCAAGCCAGAGGTATTATTTTTCAAAAGTTCTTACGTTTGTGATCCAATTCATTTAGTTCGAGAAAGAGTGTGAGACCGTTGATTGTGCTGCTGAATGGTTCGAAGGAGAATGGGAGCAATGCTCTCAATCTTGCGGAGATAACGGAGAACAGTATCGTGTTGTTTATTGCCATCAGGTTATTTTTTTTATTTTTTTTTCAAATAGAGAGGGAAAGGAGAGAGAACAGAAGATAGTTATCCAATCAAGAGCTGATTGCTCTGACTCATTCAGCTACTACACAAACTCATACACATACACACAAGATTAAAAAAAAAAGTTGCAACAACTGCGCAAAAGGCATAGAAAGCCGCATGGCCAGTTGGTCGAAGCCCCCTTAACACTCAAGGTAATAAAGAGTGAGAAGATGAGAGACAGGCGACGAATTGTAGTTTTATGATGGAACTTTAACAATCTTGTTGTACATTTGACCTCCCACCAAAAAAAATAAAATAAATCTTGGATAAAGCCGTTGTTTTATGGCTCGTGCGCTGATTGACAGATGTCTCGAAATATAAAACTTACCACACTTTTCCTCCTTTAAACTTAATGATTATTCAGATCTTTGCCAATGGACGTCGTATTACTGTAGATGATGGAAACTGTACTGCTACTCGTCCATCTGTTCGTCAGTCATGCAACAGGTATGCTAGTTCTCATACATAGTTAGCCTTTAAGAAGGGATCTCTTGCTCATTTTTATATCTCCAACGAATATCTTTCGCGAACGAAACTTAGATGAGTCGCTCTGTCTGAACATTTCTTCGAAGTATTCTTCGCCCGTGAAGTTGTAACATTAGATTTGCAAAGAAGTTGAATGAAAGAGAAGGACTTAGATTAATTGAGGAGGGAGAGTTGTAAAGCTTATCTCAACAATGGATAACGAATGGTTGATAAGAATGAGATAAGAAATACGAGAGACTATGATTCTAAGCAAGAGTTGTCAAAATATAAGAAAATTTTTCTGAAAATCGTTTAATCCTCATCGACAGCTACTGTTATTTATAGCTTCGTACTATCTATCCATTCTATATCTCCTCACGTTGATTGAATTGCTAATGATGAACGGAGAATTCTCTTATCATTTATTATGTTGAAAGAATACAATTTCATTTTTTTCATCTCTTCAGATTCTCCTGCCCTGAATGGCAAGCTGGACCATGGTCTGCTTGTTCCGAGAAGTGCGGAGAAGCTCACCAATACCGATCTGTTACTTGTCGCTCCGAAAAAGAAGGAGAAGAAGGAAAACTTTTGCCAGCTGAAGTAAGAAAATTGTGGATTACGTATCTATCTTTTCTTTTCAGTCTTGCGATGCCGATGTTCAACTCGAAACTCAAAGAACATGCAACCTTGGACCATGCGAAGGACTTACTTTCCAAACAACTGAATGGAAATTGGTAAGTCTACTCGCTGATCAGATTCACTTGATTCATAATAATCGCATATCGATCGAGATAGCTATATTTTTTTTGGTCTGCATGAATTGAAAAAAGCTAAGCTGTTTAATTTTGAACCACCATTTGTTTGTACAACAAAGCCGTTTACTCAGCGAGAGTATGTGTCACGCTAAACCAGTTGTCGAGTGAGGCCCTGTGGCCTAATGGAGAAGGCGTCGGTCTCCTAAACCGAAGATTGCAGGTTCGAGTCCTGCCTGGGTCGTAATTTTTGCTTTATCCGTGAAGAAATTATAAAATATCATCAACTGAAATAACTCATTCTTAACGATTTTCCATAAAAAGTAATTTGATTAAATGAATTTTCAGTGCTCCAAATGTAACGATACTGAAGAAACCCGCGAAGTTACTTGCAAAGACACCAACGGTAGAGCTTACCCTCTTGAGAAATGCTTGACTGACAATAGCACTGAAATCCCTATCGATACCAGGTATGAATGCATAATGTATTTCATTTTCACACCTCTATGTTTTACAGATCATGCGCCACTGTTCAACCATGTGTCTATGAATGGACCGCCTCTCAATGGTCAAGATGCTCCACCGAATGTGGACATGGACACCAAACTCGTCGTGTTGTTTGCGCTATTCATCAATTGGGAGATCTTGAAGTTGTTGATGAAGGTCTCTGTCAAGGAGAAAAGCCAGAGGAACGCAAAAACTGTACCAATGAAGAAAAATGCACTGGAACTTGGTACACTGGACCATGGACTCAATGTACCTTGGAGTATGACAAATTTTCCATGGATAATTAGTTTCATCAATCATCTTTCAGGTGTGGAGGTGGTGAACAAGAACGTCTCACTGTTTGTCTCAACTATGACAAGAAGCCCGTCCCTGAGTGGTGTGATGAAGCTGAGAAGCCCGCTGAAAAGCAGGAGTGTAACGCAGAAGCTTGTCCAAGTATACAATAAGTTGTTTGCTTATTTAACGTGTTTTGTTAAGCTTGCTTCGACTCTGACTTTGGATGCTGCCCCGATAACTCAACTTTCGCTACTGGCGAATATTTCTTCGGATGTTCCAACTGCTCCGAGACTGAATTCGGATGCTGCGGCGATAACGTTACTGAAGCTACTGGTGCCAACCTTCTCGGATGCCCAGAATTCGTTGAGAGTGTTTTGTCTGCTAGCGACTTGAAAGAAGCTGAAACCGCCGCTGAGGGTGTCGAAGGATCTGGAGATGCTGAGCCAGCCGAATGCCAAGTCACCAATGAGAACGGAGATGAAGCAACTGTTGATTGCAAGGCAGCTAACTTGACTGCTACTGAAGACTTCGATTTATTGGGTAAGATTTGACAGAGCAAACATGCAATGCTATGCTTTTTTTTCAAGGTAATGAGACAATTGATGGAAACGCTACCATCCACTGTTCAAAGACCGAATTCGGATGTTGCCCCGATTGGTACACTCCAGCTAGTGGAAAGAACAACGAAGGATGTGAATCATTCGTTCTTGGTAAGCTCCGAGTCATAGAAGAGAACGAAATGAGCATACATGTTCTCAGGAAACTGTAATGGAACTGAATTCGGATGTTGTATTGATGAAGTCACACTTTCCCGTGGTGCCAATTATGAAGGCTGTGGAGAACCATCTTGTGCTGCTTCACTTTACGGATGCTGTAAAGATCGTAAGACTATCGCTTTCGGTCCTCACTATGCTGGTTGCGAACGGTACGTCGTTTTTATAAAATTTGATGTAATATACTTCTTTGTGTAGTTCTTCATTCCCATGTGAACTCTCTACATTCGGATGCTGCCCAGATGGTGAAACTGCTGCTCTCGGCAAAAACGGAACTGGATGTGGTGAAAACTGTCTCACTACCAAGTGAGGAAATGTCATAACAATGTTTTTCAACTTCAAGCTTTTAGGTTCGGTTGCTGCCCTGACGGAAAGACCACCTCCAAGGGACATAACAATGAGGGATGTGGATGTGAATTCTCTCAATACGGATGTTGCCCCGACGGAAAGAGCGTCGCCAAGGGATCATCTTTCCTCGGATGCCCAGAGAGCTGCGCTCAGAGTAAAATAAAATAAGTCAATTGAAAGCATTCATTCTGTTTCAGAACAATTCGGATGTTGCCCAGACGGAAAGACCGCTGCTCTTGGAGCCAACAAGGAGGGTTGTCCTTGCCAATACACCAGATATGGTTGTTGCCCTGACGGTGAAACCACATCTTTGGGTCCAAAGTTAGAAGGATGTGACGATTGTCGTTACGGAAAGCATGGATGTTGCCCAGACGGAATCACCAAGGCGCGTGGACCAAATGAACAAGGATGTCCAGCAACTACTACTCCACCATTCATCATTGACGGAACTGTATCTCCTCTCAAGATCCAAGCTTGTGAACTGCCACAAGATACTGGATCCGTTTGCAATGCTGGATACAAGCTCGCCTGGTACTATGATGTTCAAGAAGGACGTTGCTCTCAATTCTGGTTCGGAGGATGTGGAGGAAACGAAAACCGCTTCCAGACAAAAGAAATGTGTGAAACTATCTGCGTTGAACCACCTGGCAAGGGAAGATGCTACTTGCCCAAGATTGAAGGACCTAAGCGTTGTCAAGAAAACACTGCCAGGTTTGTTGACAGCACTTGCATTGTATAAATATTATTGGATTTAGATACTACTATGATGTTGCCACCAACAGCTGCAGAGCCTTCTGGTGGAGCGGATGTCTCGGAAATGCCAATAACTTCGCTGATTGGGAAGAGTGCAGCGTAAGAATACTAATACCGAATATATTCATCTTTATATCATATTCTAGAAATTCTGTGACAACGTCAAGGCTGTTGAAGCTCCTGCTCCAGTCGTTGCTGAACAACCTCAAGCTCCTTACGAATATCAACCAATTGATATTGATGTTGCCGTTCAAAATAACCAACCAGTTGATCCACGACCAGTCCGTAAGTGTTGAGGAGGCGATTCAAAATTAAGACTATTTGTCACTTCAGTAACCATGGAAGAAATCTGTCGTTTGAATCTTGATTCTGGAGCATGTGACACATTCTCTGAGCGATTCTACTACGATGCTTCAAGAGGTTTCCAACTTATACTTGAACCGAGTTTACATTACCCGTTGCAGGAAGTTGCCAACCTTTCACATTTGGAGGATGTGGTGGAAACACCAACAACTTCAGAACTTCTGAAGAATGCTACCAGAGATGTGGATTCCTCAACCCCAATGCTGCTGCTGTTGCTCAGCAACATCTCCAACAAGCTCCCCAACAGCAATCTAGACAAGGTACTCCATTTTCTTGAATAAAAGTTTCATGCTAATGTTTTCAGAAGTTATCATCCCACCTAATGCCATCGTTGAGAGACCAGCCCCAATCGTTTCATGTAAGTTGTGTTCCACATAGATTACACAAAACAAAACGAAAAATATTATCCTCTGTTTTTTCCTCTGTTCCAAGCTCAAGGGCACGTTCCTCTTTTCAGAAATTTTCTTCATTACCTATTTTCTGTACCTATTTCTCCAAAATTTAGTTTGCATGTCGGTATCGTGTGTCTTTCAGCTGATGGAAAATCTCGTGAAGCTTGTCAAATGAAGATTGCCGTCGGAACTTGCAAGGGTGCATTCGAAAGCTGGTACTATGAAGTTGCCACCGGTAGCTGTGTCACATTCAAATATTCTGGATGTGGTGGAAATGGAAACAGATTCACCAGCCAGCAGGCTTGCGAGGATCTCTGCGTCGCCCCAGCCGCTCAAGTTATTCCCGGTACGTCTAGCATGCGATTACTTATGTTGTGTGCATGTCTTCTGTCAGAAGTGTTTAGACAAATAATTACCAAAGATTAACTTGTATATATATAGTTATACTAACTTACGCCTTATAACAAGACCGCTCAAACTCGACTACGCAAGTTCTCGGATAACTTTACTGTTTAAGATGGACCTCCAGGATCTAATGCTGTTTGCGACGAAGCTAAGGATACTGGCCCATGTAACAACTTCACCACCAAGTGGTATTACAACAAGGCTGACGGTACTTGCGCTCGTTTCCATTACGGAGGTTGCCAAGGAACTGGAAACCGTTTCGAGAATGAGCAAGATTGTAAAGCAGCTTGCAGCAATCATAAAGGTATGTTGGTCCAATGATGAATCATTCAATATTCTAACCTCATTACAGACCTTTGCTCTTTGCCTAAGGTGCAAGGACCATGTTCTGGAAAACACCTCTACTACTATTTCAATCAAGCAACAAATAAATGCGAAACATTCACTTTCGGAGGTTGTCTCGGAAACACCAACAGATTCTCAACTGTCGAAGAATGCAATGCTCGTTGCCCACGTAAGTAATATCTGATTTCAACAACTCTCTTCTCAACTTCATCATCAGTTAAGCCGGGATTTTAATATTTTATAAGCAATAAATGACTTCCATCTAATCGTAATGAAAGTTGTTTTTCCGTGAAAACTCTTCATTTTTCTCTCTCTCTCTTTCTCTCTCTCTCTATCCTCTCATTCTCTCTATCTTTCCCTCTCACTCTCTCTCTCTCTCTTTATAGTTCTTGTTTTACACGTTGTTAATCACTTTAGACCGTGGTCTTGAAACGTTTTTTGTCATTATCTTGGCATACATGCACACGCACCACGTTTTGTGACGATTCAACCAAACTTTTCCTTTTTCTTTAAAACACAATTCCATTTTATAATTCTCATCTTGTACGTCATGCTGAAAACGATTCTGCGTGTGCACGTGTGCGTACCCTCGAAGTTGAAGCTTCTATTCTTTTCTTCGAATTTTTCTGGTACTTCCTATCGATTTTGGATGGATTTTCGCTTGTTTTTATTTTACATTTATATATGCGCAGCTTCTTACTTCCTCTCTTATTGCGTTCATCACAACCCCCTCGCCCTCTCTATCACTCTCTCTCTCTCTCTCTCTCTTCTCTACTTCAACTTGAAATTCTCATTTAGTTTTCCTCAACCAAACGTTCAACATGTTCTTAGCGTCTGTTGTTAAAGTTATTGACAGAAATATATTTTAATGCAATAAAGGGGTGTAAATGAACTTAAATATAATTTCATTTGTTCTGTCTGTCCTTGAACTAACGCTCCTTCTATGCTTCTCGCTTCCTTATTTCAAATATTAACTACCTAAGTTGTGTGTTGTGTATTTCTAACCATTTATAGAACAACAACAACAACGACAACAGCCACAAGAAGCTCCCGCAAATATGATCTCGCTAGCCAAGAATGCTGAACAATCTCAACTTCAACTTATTCCCACTGGACACAAAGCCTATGAGGTCATACAATCGCATGCATCATTAACAGATCGATGTTTTCTTCCTAAAGAAACGGGACGTTGTAGGTAAGATAGACTCAACATTACGCTATTCGCTTTCTAACCCAAATCAGAATATCATATTCGAAAAATGAATTCAAACAAAACGAGCTGTCGAAGTATCGCTATCTTCAGTAAATAATGCACAATGTTCCACCAAAGGCTTATACATTGAGCCACAGGCCCGCTGATTATGCATAAATCGTGCGATGCACGAAACGTTTTCGCTCTGGGACCATTCCCAAAGTAAAATTTCGACCCTGGCAGGACTCGAACCTGCAATCTTCGGTTTAGGAGACCGACGCCTTATCCATTAGGCCACAGGGCCGCCATTAATGCATAAATCGTGCATTCCACGAAAGGGTTTCGCTCTGGGACCATTCCGAAGGTGAAATTGAGACCCTTAGCCCAAAAATTCTCATACATGTAGTTTAGTCATGTGAAGATCAAAAATCAAAAATTATAGAAATGTGCAAGTGAAGTACCACTATGACGCCACATTAGGCCAGTGCGTTCAATTTTACTATAGTGGTTGTGACGGAAACGACAACCGTTTCGATAGTGAAGAAGAATGCCAATCTCTTTGTTCACCGCATCAGGTACTCATTAGTGATTATTAAAAAATCAATTACATGAGAGTTCAGGCTTTAACAATTCATGACAACTACAATATAGCAGCAGATGGATCGGCGAAACCCTTGATTGTTGATGGTATCGATAGTGGGAAATATGAATCTATAAATCCTGTCCGAACAATTGAATCGTTCAGTACTGAACAGAATGATTTGAATCTTCGTATGCTGGATAAGGAAGAGCATAACGTGAGGAATTTTTAGAATTGTTGAGTGGAAATTTGATTTTTTAAGGTGAAAATAAGACAACCAGTTTCTTCGTCCATACCAGAGCTTTGTCAACTGCCAGAAGAGAAAGGATCATGTTTTGGAAGCATTCTGCGCTGGAGGTATGCATTGATACAGCCGGAGTATTGAAAGAACAACACCGATTTTCAGATACAACACGGAAACAAGCGGTTGTGTCGCATTTTTGTTCAGTGGATGTGATGGCAATGCTAATCACTTTACAAGCTTGGTATTTAAAAATAGCAGCCGTTCAACTTTTTCAAAACATAATTATAGGAGTCTTGTGAAAGAGCATGTGGAACTGACCGAGATGTAGATGTATGCTCATTAGAAATGAATGCTGGGGATTGCGAAGAGTCGGTTACAAAATGGTACTACAGTTCGAGACTAGGTCGTTGTCAGATGATGTTGTACACTGGCTGTGGAGGAAACGGGAACAGGTTCATATCCCAATCACTTTGAAATAACAATTAGATAATTAATCCAGGTTTTCGTCCCGCGAAGAATGTGAATCGTTATGTAAAGAAGAGATGCACTACGGAGATCAACAGAATATTTGGTAAGTTCTACTGAATTGATCAAGTGTTCATATTTTGGACAATTTTAGTAATGTTCCACGTTCATCTGGTCCTTGTCAAGATGCTATATCAATGTGGTACTATGATAAACCTATGAAGGAATGTAGGCTATTCACATATTCTGGATGCAGAGGAAGTAAGAACAGGTAAGCTCTTCGTCTTCAAACTCAATCGAATGTTGTTCTCTTCAGATTCATATCAAAAGGTGAATGCGAAGAAGCATGCCATGTTTAAGATTCAAAGAGAAACTTTGTAATCTCTTATTATTTGTATATTCTGTTACACATTAATGAATATTATTGGTTTTGTTTTTCACTGACTGGTCATAAGCATTTCCATGCTAACCATATCGTTTGATGAGTAGAATCATGGAGATCAAATTCTCTCTCGCACTGTTGAGTGCTGAGTGTTCTAATCGATACTGTGAAGATGTGATATCATTCTCAAAGTCTTTTTAGTCATCATAGGTCTCGGCTTTGAAAGTAAATTATGAGCAAAAACACGCAGGTGCATTCATGTTATAAATCAGTCATTCACTTGAATCTGAATCTGGTTATATTGACGGCATTTGTTCAAACTCAGCTTCTCCAGTGGGTGAGAACAACTGAGACTACTTCATCATAACTGTCTTATCCAATTAAAAGTTATTGAATGACTGGAATAGTTTATGCGATGAATATACAATTATGACAGAATGAGCAAATGTCAGGGCGGTTTGATAACACGAAGGGATAGTCAATTTATAATTTTGTGAGTTTGATTTGTTCGCCATACGGTGTTGAATGCTGGTGTAGATACTTGCTTACCAGTACAGTTAATTTTACGAACAACTGGAGTAATGAGTGAGGTAGGAGGACTGAGAATTCAAAACGAACCTATCCTGAGTGTTGCTTTGATTCTATTCGAATAATCTGAATTAGCCATTAATATGAAATAGGAACCAAATACTTGGTAGCTACTGATGAGAAGAAAGCACACCCGAGAAATTTCTGAAACAAGTGAGTTTAACTTCTTAATAGCAATTATGATAACCAGGAACTCCTAGATGAAAGATGATACAGAAAGCGATTATAGCAGCTGGTAGTGCCAATCCAAAAAATTCAAAAAATCTCTGAATGAAGAAAATATTTTTTGTCAACCTTCCAAATCTCTCACCAGACGTATGACAGCAATGGTAATTCTACGCTGACTTTTAAGGAAATGGGATGATCGTGATGGTCTCCCTTGCTCTCTCAAGCTGCGGATCAAAAAATATCCACAAAAGATGGCAGTAACTGTATAAGTGATTCCGACCAATGTACCACAAGCACAAGCATAGAAGATGCCTGTCTCTTTTGATATTAAGAGAATAATTATATTCTCTTGATACATCATTTCAGAAAACTTCAGACCTGTGTTCTGCAGAATAGCTCTTACATAGTATATGTTTGAAGTTATCTAACCTTTCTACAAACCTGACGAGCCTCTTCTCCACCGTCCTCTATATTCAAACCAATGATGACACAGGCAGAAATTTGAATTACTAAGCATACCATATATGATATTACAATGTTTTTTTTGTTTTTTTCAGAAATGTTCATTGAGATAGTGAGCACACGGTTGAGAGAGAGAAAAACCACAAACCATGCCAAAACTGAAATGAAAATGGATTCCATACAACTTGGGATTCTATGCGAATACTAATGAAGAGCAGAGCTTGAGACCAAAGCTGATTTATCGGCTTCATCAGTCCTAAATGTTGAAAAAGTCCATCTGCATATACAGCAGAACAAGGTAGTATGAAGGTTGGTGTTGTACCAAGAGTTAAGTATAGTTGAAAGATTCCACCACTATGTGAGCTTGTATTGAATGATTTTCAGTTTGTGAACTTACGCAACATCATGGCCATGTATGACAAATTGAGAAAGAAGAGTTAATTTGGTTGAAACTGATATGAGTAAGTACATGGAGATAGCAATAGTGAAGATTCCAATTAAGGAGAAACAATACATAACAACTATATAGATATCCATAGAGAACCTAGTGACTGAAAGTGGACATCCAAATCAAACGCTTCGTCTCGTAACACTGAAAGGGAAAAAGGAATTCCAGCTGTTAGTTGGTAAAATCATATCAAATGAATAATTCTGGGCGTTTGCTCATGATCAACTTATTCATAATCAAAGATTATCTTTTAATATATATGTAATCAACTGTACATGTCTCAAGTGCACTGCTACTCTAGACGAGTTCCATCAGATTAATACGAGATACTCCCATACTCCTAGCAACTAGTAGTAACTGCCAAACTCCTCAGCTGCAGGCATGATACCATTTTTTCTTATGACATTCTAATTTTTTCGTTTTTCAGTTCTTCTTTTCACAGAGCTGATTGGAGTTTGATTCGAAGTTTCAAAAAAGAATATATGGCTGTGAATGAGTTTTTAGAAGATGAAGGCGAGAAAATGGAAAAAAACCTTTTTGTGCAGGAGGCAGGTCATGATATAGATGATTCAATGTTCTTCTTAGAGGTGAGCGAATATGCTGTTACCGATAAGACCGGTGTTTTCTAGTAGATCAATTCTCGACATTGCTCACATATAAAAATGTAACATGTTTTTGTTGTTTAGACACTCTTTTTTGAAGATTCTGTGCATCAATGTGATAACGAGGCCAAAACGAGCACGAAGCCCTGCTAACTACTTCCTTGTGGACGAGTGATGGTACTTTCTTTCTGGTTACGTATGAGACTTTGACACGTTTGTTACCTTGTTTGAATGAATGTTTTCTGGTTTTTCATTAATAATGCTCAATATTAAGGAATTGAACCTATGCAGATGTCACCCTCTACTGTATTGGTAAGTTAGCCAAAGTCCTTGTACCCTTCCTTCGTGTCAATTTGCACGAAATATGAAGAGAGCCTCTGCATGAAGCAGACGATGAGTTATGTTGTTAGGTCCCCCATGTTTCAGATTCTCTCAATCTCTGCTGTCTTAAGCTGTTATGTTCAAGAAATGAAAGCTTGATTCGTTTCATTCCAGAATCAGATGATCAGTAGACTGTCATGTTTCCCTGTTCGTTTAAGAATGCAGTGAAGAGTGATTGTTATCCATTCTCAGCTTTGGTGGTTATAATCACCGGTTGTGCATAGTTACTTACTTACGTAAGATGTTCTTCATATGTTCGTTAGATTTTTGATTTTCTCTCTTCTTTCTCTATTTGTGTATCTCATCTATGATTTCTGAATGTGCCAATGCATCCCATTGTTACTTCGTTCATTGTTTTCATACGATTTTACTGGTAAGATGTAGCAGTACGCTTCAGCTTACGCCTTCAGCACTCGAATGCGGTAAACAAATACAAAAAATTATTTTCGTTTATACATGAACGGCCAAATCATTCTCGACAGCTCTCCCCCCTTCGC